CCTCCCCCCCCCCCCCCCCCCCCCCCCCCCGCCTCACCGCCACCACCACCCCCCCACACCCCACCTCACACCGGCTCCTCCCGCCCCAGCACCGCCCCCGCCCGGCCCGGACCGGCGCGGCCCGGCCGGCTCGGCGCGGCTCCCCCCCAAGGCGCGGCGCGGGCACGGCTCCTACCGGGGCGCTGCCGGCGGTGCCTCGCGGGAGCGGCCCGGCCCGGCCCGGCCGGCGGGGCCCGGGAAGGGCCGGAGCGGGGCCGGAGCGGCCGCGGCGGGGCCGGAGCGGGGCCGGAGCGGGGGCCGGAGCGGCGGCGCCGGGACTGCGGCGGGGGCGGGGCCGCCGCCGGCGGGGGGCGCGCGCGCGGCGGGGTGGGCGGGGCCATGGAGAGCGCGGCGGGAACGGACCAATAGGAGGGCGCGGAGCGAGCGTGACGGACAGGGGACACAGCGAATCAGGGAGGGTGACGGGCAGAGGGCGGGGAGGCTAGAGGGGCGGGCTCGGAAGGCGGGGATAAGCAGCGCGGGGGCGGGCGCGGACCAATAGGGTGGCGCGGAGCGATGTGATAGACACAGGGAAAGGCCAATGGGAGAGGGAGGAGGGAGGGTGGTGCAGAGGGGGCGGGGCCCAGAGCGGTGGCGGGAACGGGCCGGGGGGGGGCGCGGGCTGAGGGGACCCCGTGAGGGGAGCGGAGGCCGCAGAGGATCCCCCTCAGGGGACGCGCCCGCGGAGCACCTGAACCCAGCCAGGCCTCCACCGACAACATCCTTCTCTGACAAGGAACCAAAAAGGTTTGACCTCAAAGTGCCTTTTTTGGAGGGGTTTGATGTGAAAATCGCCTTTTTTGCGAGGGCAACGACCTCAACGTCACATTTATTTCAGAGGGGCTGACCTCAAAACCGCCTTGTTTCGAGGGGGTTTGGCCTCAAAACCACCTTTTCTGAAGGGGTTTGACCTCCAAAATGCAGATTTTTTTTTCAGTGGCTTGACCTAAAAACCATTGAATTTTTGAGGGGAACAACCTCAGAGATGTCTTTTTTGGAGGCATCTGACCTCAAAAACACCTTCTGCTTTTGAATGCCGTTAAATAAATTTCACTCCTTAAAATCCTCTCTCAGAGACTCCGGGGCTGAGGGAAAACTGGAAAATTATTCAAGAATCATCCAAAACTCCTCAAAATCAGTGACCCCCCCGACTTTGAAAACAGCTGAACAAATGCTGAAATGGCAATTTTAGGGTGAAAAGTGGTGGAATTGGTGATTTCACAGGGAAGGACACAACAGAACGAGGTCCAAACAGGCACTTTTTTATTGTTGGTGGCAACGCTGACGGAACCGCGCGGAGACTCCGGAGCATCACAGCACCGTTAATGCCTCAAAAACATGTGAAAAACGAGAATTTCTGTGTAAAACATAAGCCCCTGCGGGTTTTAGCACTTCTTTTGTTTAGGATTTGGGGTTGTTTTCTTTGCACGCAGAACAATCTGGTTTGTAGGGACAGAAGCAACGTTTCTAGACAGGGAAAAAATAACTGTTAATCCTAAATTCTGTAATTTAATGCTTTGAACACGGAGTTTTGCCTGAGAGAAGGAAACCAGTCTTGGGGTGAAGCTGTTCCAGACACCAAATTCTCCTAGACAGCTGTCCTCGCTCTGGGTTTTCCAAAAAAAACCAAATTTACAGGAATATTTCCCTCACCGCTCCCCATCATCGTCAGTTTTCACCTCTAAAAAGCCACTCGGGGCTTATTGGGAATAAAAATCCTCAATTCTCCTCTAATCCTGTGTTGCTGGGAGGCAGCCGAGCCAGCCTGGCTTCCCTAGGAACACATCTCTTCCCAAATTTCTCCTCTCCCTCACTTTTCCTTCCAGCTTTCCCAATTCCTGCCGGTTTTTTGCCTTTTTTAAGCAAATAAACCCAGTTCCCGCTGCTCCTCGGTTGTTTCCCGCAGCGTTCCCACACCCAAAGGCTCAGGATTTAGGTGGAAAACAGCTGAAAATCAAGGAGTGAGAGGGAATTCGCCCTCAACACGAACATTCTGAGCAGAAATAAAACCAAAACTCCCCTGAAACCTGCACAGGGAGGGGAAGAAATGAATCCAGAACCAGCATCAGGAGCTGCAGGACACAACACTGGAGGTGCTGGAATGGCTGTAAGTGGAAAAAGTGAATTATTCCCACTTCTTCCAAACAGGGAGGATTTGCCTCTTTTTAGCTCCATTTGACATTTTTCTGTTCAGCTTTACTGTTACTTTTTTAGCTTTTTTCTCACCTTTTCTGTCTTTCCCTTCACCTTTCCAGTTTTACCTTTTCCTTCATTTTTTTTTTTTTGGCTTCAATTTTCCCTTCCACTCCTCTGTCAGCTGAAAAACGAGGTGGGAAAAGGGAAAATATAGGGAATTTTTTTTAAAAAAAATAAAAATAAATTAGGGAAATTTCAGTGTTTGATTCCAGCACGGGAATCTCTGCCCGGCGGTGTCAGAGAAACCAAAGCTTGCCCCCAAAAATTCACTGGAAAAAGCTCCAAATAACCCTAACCAAAAAAACATCCTGGAAAAGCAAAATATACAAAAGCTCCCCAAAGCATTGGATAATTCCATAGAAATGCCCCCTGGATGATACAAAACAAAGGAATTGGGATAAAAAGCAGCCCAAGGGATCCCTCAACACCAATTCCTGGAGCCCTGACAGGGGGGGAAGGTGGGACTGGTCCCCCAAATCCTCAGAGCGTTTCTTTAAATCCTTTTTGAACAAATGAGCCCAAAAAAATCCCAATTGCTGACGGTGGCTCTGCTCCCGTGTCTCCACCAGGTCTGAGGGTTAATTCTGTTATATTTTAAGCTTGAGTTAATTATATTTTAGAGTTAATTGACCCCTTTTCAGCTCAAAAAATAACTCCCTTTCTCCCCTCCTGGCACAAGCCACGAGGTGTCGGCTGCCACTGGCTTTGCTAAAATCACCCGGAATTAAACCAAAACCCCCTCCAAGGTCCATCCACGCCCCCTCCCCGCGCTCTGGGGCGGGGGTCCCAAAACCCCTGATGCAGGTGAAGGGAGCTGGGAGAGGCCGTGCCCTAAAGCGACAACTTTTGGGACCAGGCGCAGATTTTTGGGGAGGAATCTGTGGAATCTGCAGGTCCTCGAGCGGCGCCAGAACCGGACAGAGCCAAATTCTGCTCACGGCCCCCTCTCCTTCACCTTCGCTCCCTGCAGCGGCTACAAGAGCATTAATTAGCTTATTCCTAAAAGAGAATTAATTAATTAGGGCCCAGAACGGGGGCTCTGGGGTGTCAAAAGGGCAGCAAGAGATGGGAAGCGATCCCAGCCCGTCCCGGCTCTCCGGGCAGGAATGAACAACTGTAATTAAATATTTTTGGGAGGGTCACAAGGAAAACACCCCACGAGGAGCTGCCTGAACCTCCCGGCTCCTTCGACCGTCACCTCTGCGCCCACATCCCCGGCGATGAGGAAAAGCCGATCCCAGAAGGCTTCACCGGGATCAAAACGGGATCAAAACGGGATCAAAATGGGATCAAACACACCTAAACTCGCTCCGGAGTCGCCGAACCCCGGGAATTGGGATTTTTCCCGTTTTTATCACGGGGCCCTGCGGCTCGTTAGCGGCGACAAGCTCGTCATCGTCACCAGCGCAAGGATTTAAGGCCGAGTCGTGAAAAATCCGCGTTTTTACCGATCTCCCCCCGGCGCTGCCGGGAGGGAGGAGTGGGTGGTCCAAGGTCCATGGAGGTGAATTCCACGTGGGACGGGCGGCTCTACGCCTCGGGCTGGCCTTTGTTGGTCTTCTTGAGAAGTTTCCTCAGGTTCTGGGACATGAAATAAGGTTTTTCCGCCGAGCCGTCGTTGCGCTCCAGGTCTTCCACTGCAAAGAGAAACCCCCGGCCCCACGGCGGGGTTGGTGCGATGTGGAGGCTCCTGGGATCCTCCCAACAACGATTCCCGGATTAAATAAAGCCTGGTCGTGGAACGGGGGATTTCTTGTCGCAGCAAAGCCAGGAATGGCCCACGGGGATTGAGAAGAGGAAATTTGGGGGGTTTTGTTTCTCGGGGTGAAGTTGGACAGCACCGAGAGCAGGAGGGACCCCTCAGCTCTTCCCAACAGCTCTGGAGCCGACGCAAAGCGATTCCCCTCGTTCCCGACGCGCCAAAGAGGTCGGAAAAATCCCAGCCGTGGAAAAAACAACACCCCAAAACCAAACAAAGCCACAAAGCCCCAGGCTCACAACAGCCAGGGGGTGTTTTGAGAGGGATTTGGATCCTTTCCGGGATGGAAATGGGAACGTCGACACTGCGGCTTTGTCCTGGGAGGGTCTGGCCGGGAGCTGTGGCTGAGCCACGAGAGCTGTTTTTTTAAATCTCGATCATTTCTGGGCTGTCTGGAGGAGAAATCCCAACCCCTCCCATGCCTGGAGTGAAATCCTCTGAGTCCCAGTGGCCACCGAGTCCCTGTGGCCACCAGTGACGGCTCCTGGCCCGCTCAGGGGACGGGGCTAAAGCAGCAGGTGTGAAGCCAAAGCTCTGCAACCTCGCCTGGAGTCCTTGGGAGTTTTGTGGTTTGCATAGAGATGGGGTGAGGGAAAGGGTGAGGAAAGGGCAGGAAAAGGGTGAGGAAATTGCAAGGAAAAGGGTGAGGAAATTGCAAGGAAAAGGGTGAGGAAATTGCAAGGAAAAGGGTGAGGAAATTGCAAGGAAAGAGGTGAGGAAAGGACAGGAAAAGGGTGAGGAAATTGCAAGGAAAGAGGTGAGGAAAGGACAGGAAAAGGGTGAGGAAAGGGCAGGAAAAGGGTGAGGAAAGGGCAGGAAAAGGGTGAGGAAAGGGCAGGAAAAGGGTGAGGAAAGGGCAGGAAAAGGGTGAGGAAATTGCAAGGAAAGAGGTGAGGAAAAGGCAGGAAAAGGGTGAGGAAAAGCGTAAGGAAAGGGCAGGGAAAGAGATGAGGAAAGGGT